CCGCTCGTGCCGCCGAGACCCGCGGTCCTGGGGGGAGGCCTTCAGTGCGGCTCAGGGATGGGGAGGGAAGGCGGTGGGGTTGGCAGCGAACCCCCACGGTCACCCCAGGGACTGCAGCGTGGGGGAGGGCCCGTGGGCACAGGTCCTGTGCTGACCTCTTGCCGCAGCAGGCTCTTCGCTGGGCCTGCGAATGGGCCCCAGGCCTCCTCGGTATGGAATTGGGGGGTGGAGAGGCTGGGGGAGGGGAGCGGGCACCCCCTCTGGCTTTCTGGGAGGGGCCCAGCTCAGTGGGGGTACCTGGGGACCCCAGCAGGCTGGTCACAGGCCTGGGCCAAGCAGGGCTGGTGGACGGAGCAGGACAGAGGTGGACGGGGAGGAAGGGGGTTGAGGGGGTGGCTCAGACGTCTGGACCCCCGGTGGCCTCACAGGAGGTGCCTGCTCCTTAGGGGACACAAAGGCAGACCTGGGAACCCCTCGCCCCTCAAGGCCTGGGTGTTCCCAGCCCTGAGCTCACTGGCCGCCCCCGGAGAGTCTGCCTGATGGAGACCCAGGGGCGCCCAGCGCTGGCCCTGCCCAGGGGGCCGGGGCACCGAGCCCCACAGTGAGCGGAGCATTGGCTGCCCTGAGCGTGGGAGCCCGTTTTCTAGAAGCCTGAGGCCTTGGGGGGCTGAGTGGCTGAGGTCCCACGGTGGCCTGGAGGTCGAGTCCAAGGCAGGAGGGCCGAGTCGGAGTGAGAGGGAGCCCCCCATACACAGCAGATGGGAAAATGGAGGCTCTGACAGGGAGCGGAGGGGTTGACCGAGGGGCCCTGGACCCAGGCCCTGCAGGGGTCCTGCGCAGTGTTGCCCTCCTGGGCTGTCTCAGGGATGCTTGGCCCCCATGGGTGGAAGGAGAGCCAACCTCAGGGCCTGAGAGGAAGGCCAGAGTCCCACTGCCACTGTCCCCCGCCCCGCACAGTCCCCCCAGGGAGAGCGTCTCGGTGGTCCTGGGCCAGCACTTCTTCAATCTCACGACGGACGTGACACAGACGTTCCGCATCGAGAAGTACATCCCGTATCCCCAGTACTCGGTGTTCAACCCCAGCAACCATGACCTCGGTAGGGCTCAGGGCGCGCTGGGGTGCAGCAGGGTCGGGACATGTGCTCTGTGCTCCCTGGGCCAGACCAGGAGAGGGGTGGGGGGCCGGACACCCAGAGCCCTGGGAGAGTCCTCAGACCAGTGAGTGCGAGGAGCGGTGGGCGGGAGGGACAGAGGGGAGCAGGAGGGGGTGGGGGAGAGGTCCAGGGCAGGGCGGCAGGGTGCCTGGGGTGGCCTTGCTCCCTCCTGGGTCTCCCAGGTCACAGCCCCTTGCCTAGCAGGGCTGCACCCTGGTGTACCGGTGGTCACGCTGTATCCACCACGGCCCCCCACCCCAGGCTGACCTCTGACCTCTCTCCCGCCCAGTCCTGATTCGGCTGAAGAAGAAGGGGGATCGCTGTGCTGTCCGCTCCCAGTTTGTCCAGCCCATCTGCCTGCCGGAGCCCAGCAGCCCCTTCCTGGTCGGACACAAGTGCCAGATTGCGGGCTGGGGCCACCAGAACGAGAGTGAGTGGCAGCGGGAGCAGCGGTGGCCACGAGAGCCTCGCCCACCCTGACAACACCACGTCCCTGTCCGCAGACACGAAGGGCTACTCCAGCTCCCTGCGGGAGGCGCTGGTGCCCCTGGTGGCCGATCACAAGTGCAGCAGCCCCGAGGTGTATGGGGCGGACATCAGCCCCAACATGCTGTGTGCCGGCTACTTCGACTGCAAGGCTGACGCCTGCCAGGTGAGCCCAGCCTCAGACCTGCCCACCCTGGGGACAGGGACCCTGACTCTCAGGGCCACAGGGAGCCCAGGCGGAGAGCGGACCCGCCCTGCCCCCGTCCCCCCGTCCACCGGTCCAATCAAGGCTGGGGCTGGCCATGTGACTCCAAAGCCCAACTTTTTCATCCAGAGCTCTCCCCGGGAGCTCATCCATCAGCCAGTCCCAGCAGCTCACCCTCATCCAGGGCTCCCCAGGCAACCCCGAGGTGGAGGGGCCACTTACTCCCCATGTTATAGATGGGGAAACTGAGGCCCTGGGAGATCCAATCACTCTTCCCAGGTCACACAGCTCACATGTGGCAAGGGAGTGGATGGGGGTGGGGGACTTGACACTGGACCTTTGGTGGAAGTCAGGGGTAGCTTCATGGGAGCAGGAGCATTTACACTTGTCCTGAGGGGTGAATAGGAGTTTACAAGAGGTGAGGAGCGTCTTTCAAGTGGGGGTGAGGGTGGGGGTTGGGGGGAGGCAACATATTCCAGAACACAGGGGTCCCCTGGTCCATGGGGGGCCTTGCTGGTGGGCAGTGGGGGGAGCCAGGTAGAGGAGCACATTGCTGGCCCTGGAGGTGAGCGGGAGCCTGGGCAGGGCTTCAGAAACCGGAACAACCTGCCAGGCCCTGTCACAGCAGCTGGGAAGGAGAGGACTTCCTGTCTGTGAGGTTCAGGAAAAGTTGAACAACATGCTTACTTGTCCCCAAGCTGTCAAGAAGTCCTCCGAGAGGCCCTGGGGAGTCCTGCATCCCAGGGGAGCATCTGAGACGCCTTTGGGGATGTTCTTGGGTTAGGGTGAGGGAGGCCAGGGCAGGAAGGGGCAGTTTCCAGGGTGCCAAGGAACTGAGCCACGGGTCACCTCGAGCTGGTCCCTGGCTCTGACAGGCAGCTCTGCTGCAGGGGGACTCAGGTGGGCCCTTGGTCTGCGAGAAGAATGGTGTGGCCTACCTGTATGGCATCATCAGCTGGGGTGACGGCTGCGGGCGGCTCAACAAACCAGGCGTCTACACCCGTGTGTCCAATTACGTGAACTGGATCAACGACCGGATTCGGCCCCCTAAGCGGCCTGCAGATACCTCCTGAGACCCCCTGGGAGGCATGCTGCCTTCTTGCAATTCCTTGCCTGCTGGCAATAAAGCTGCTCCCAAGAACACAGCCTGTCCTGCTGCCCCCAACCCAGCCTCCCTCTCAGGCCATCACCTGGGCCCACATACACCTCCCGTGACATGAGCTCTCTCTGACCCTTCGGCCCCAACTGTTGAGTGTGGATCTGTTAAAGAGGTGACTCACAATTATAGATCGTCCAGGGTCAAGCCAGCCTTGCATTCCTGAGCAAACTGTGCTGAGTCACAGTGTGAGCCAGGTATCTTCCATTTGCCCCCAAGCTCCCCTCCCCAATTTTTCCCCTGCCCTAGGAGGCTGATCTCAAAGACTACATCAATAAACTCCTGGGCCCATTGGGTTCTTCTTGGGCCATCAGGGAGCCCAGCAGGAGGTCAGAAAAGGAGGAGGATGAGATTGAGTATTGATTTCTCTGGCCCCCTCCTTTTGGAATCACCTCAGTGTTACAGGTTGTGTCCTCCTAAAATCCATATGTTGGAGTCCTGACCCCTAGGACCTCAGAATGTGACCTTATTTGGAGAGAGGACCTTTACAGAGGTGATCAGGTTAACATGAGGTCACTAGAGTGGGCCCTGATTCAATACAACTGTGTCCTTATAAGAAAGAGAAATTGGGACACAGACACACACAGAAGGAAGATAACGTGAAGTGTCACCTGGGGAAGATGGCCATCTACAAGCCAAGGACAGGCCTGGAGCAACTTCCCCCTCCCTGTGGACGTCTCTATCTGGGACCTCCAGCCTCCAGAACGGTGAGATGCCCAGTTTCTGTTCCTTAAGTCCCCAGTCTGTGGTGCATTGTTATAGTGGCCGAGTAAACCAGTGCACCCAGATCCCTTCACTGGAGGCCACTGCTCCTCCCAAGACACACAAACGGCTCTGCTTGGATGGTTCTGGTGACTCACCTTCCCCTCACCCTCTAGTCTAGAGGAGGTGCCCACTCCTGCTCTCTAACCAGCCCAGGGCTGCAGAGTTATTCCTTGGGGTCCCTCCACTATGAAACCTTTGTGAATAAACCCCTTCGCTCATCCTAATGCCATGTCAGCCTGTGAGGACCCTGGCTATTGATACATGCTGTATTATTTTCTTACGTGCTTTTCCAAATTTACTGACATTTTGTTTAGGATTTGACACTTATGTTTCTGAGTGAAATCGGCCTATAATTTTCCTTCCTTGTGCTCTTTGATGGCTGTCATCTAGGCTATGCCAACCTCAGAGCATGAGCTCAACAGTATCTTCTCTCTCATTATTCATGGGAAGACTGTGTGAAGCTGGAGTGATCTATTCTTTGAAAGTTCAGTACAAGTCCCAGTAAAATCCCCTGGGGCCTGGTGTTTTCTTTACGGGATGGTATTTAACTACTAATCAATAGTTATGGGACTTCTCGAATCCTTTATAGGAAGTTACAGTTTTAGGAATTTATCTAAGTTGTCATACTTACTGCTCTAAAGTTGTTCATGGTGTTCTCTTGTCATTGACTCTCAAGTGTATCTGGTTATTTCTGCCAACACTTGGAGGGTGTTCCACTGTCTTCTGGCTTCCATTGCTAAGGCTGAGAAATTGGCGGAAAATCTAATAGCTCTTTTGTCAATAACTTTTTCCCTCTGGTGACTTTTGTGATGTCTTGTCTTTGGTGTGCCGTGTGCCACCATGGTGTGTGCAGATGTAGGTTTCTCCCCTTTCTCTGAGCCTGCTGACGGTGTGTGGGACTCTTGCTCAGCTTGGACGTTGGCTGGTGCCCTTCTCTGTGGTGACTCAGGGACCCAGGCTCCTTCTACGTAGAGCTTGCAATGTCCCGTGAGGCTCATTGTTCAACACGGACACTGCATATCAGAACACTTTTTCTCTATCACAAATGACCTCAAAACTCAGTAACATAAAACAACAGCCATGTGTTTAGATCGCAGCTCTGTGGGTTGGTAACTTGGGCTGGGTCGGCTCCTTCATGTTTGGGAGTCGCCAGTGGATCATAGGCTGTTCTGCTCCTCAGGGTGGGCTGGCTGTTGGCTAGGGCCATGGGGTGACTGGGCCACATCTCTTTCATCATCTGGCAGCGTACTTGGGCCTATTCGCATGGTGGAGGCTGGGCTCTGAAAGGGTGAATGTGAGCATTTCCACTGCAAAGCCAGGTTCTGGGTAGTGAGAGAGACTCCATCTTTTAGTGGGAGGAGGTGTTTGGTCACATTCTGGGGGTGTGGGTGCAGGGAGCGGGATATTTGCAGCCATTTTCCAAGGAAACGACCACACTCTATACCAGTCAGCTCGGCCCCCATAACAGACACCACAGACTGGGGCTTAAGCGACAGACATTATTTCTTTCCATTCTGGAGGCTGAAGTTCAAAATCAAGGTGCCCTCAGGTTGGTTTCTGGTGAGAGGCTCGTCCTGGCTGGCAGAGGGTGCCAGCCTGCTGCATCCTCCATGGCCTCTCTCCGCTGGTTCTCCCTCTGCTCGTGATTAGGGCTCTGCCCTTGACCTCATTTAACCTTAATCACCTCCTTAAAGACCCCATCTCCAAATGACAGTCACATGGGGGTTCATGTTTCAACATATGAATTTGGGGTCGGGGGATACTATTCAGTCCATAGGCGCCGGGCGTCATGTGTCTGGGTCATCACTTCCGCCCACATGCCGCTGGCCGGAGCTCCCTCGCCTCACTGAGGGGTGCTGGGCAATGTAAATGAGTGAATGGGTTGGGGGGGACACAGGGAACAGTCCGTGCCATGGTTGGGGGGCATGTGTTTTTCTCCAGCTACACTGAGTATCTGGAAACACATGATGAGACAGCCCATCCCTGGTCCCAATTGTCTCCTTTTAAAATCCACGAGCATTTTGAAAGACCCTTGTTTAGGGCTCATCGTGATAATATCAGGCTGGAAGAGTTTGAAACTGAACTTAAAGTTCATCTGGGAGGTGTTAGGTGCCATGTCTGGCTTCAGGTCCTGTAGCTGCGGAGCCATCATTGGGAACAGTGCCCTGTGGCCATAGAGTCTGGTAGTAGTGGCAGGGTCCCTAGCCATAGTGTCCTTGGTTATGCTGTCTGGCAGCAGCACCCATGGCTGTGTGGTTGGTCAGTGGAGCAGCTGTGACCCACTTCTTGGAATGTGGCAGCCATGCCCCTTGGCTGTGGAGTCCAATGTGTGGTGGTGCAGAGCTGGGGGCGTCCAGGCTCAGGAGTGTGGCTGCTGCCCACCTTCTGGAGCTCCCACTGGTGCTCCAGCCTCCCCTGGGCTCTACCAGGGGCTGACATTCTTCCAGCAAATTCTTTCCTCCTGCATCAGTGGGCACAGTGAGTTTCTGCTACTTGCCACCTTCACCTCTGGCTGTTACAGCTGGGAAACTCTTAGCTCTGGCTGCTGTGACTGAGCACCAGGGACTGAGGTGGGGGCTAAAACAACAGGCATTTATTTCCCACAGCTCCAGAGGCCAGAAGCCAGAGCTTGGGTCCTGGGGAGAGCTCTCTTCCAGGTGTGCAGACAGCCACCTTCCTGTTGTGTCCTCACCTGTTTCTGCTGATAAGGGCACTAATCCCAGCATGGGGGCTCCACCCTCATGACCTGATCACCTCCCAAAGGCCCCTCCTCCTAACATCATCACAGGAAGGGCTGGGCTTCGACACATGAACTGGGGGGACATAGACATTGGTCTGCAGCAGGAACTAAGGCGCAGAGGCCCAGAGCCGACCCAGCGTCTGGAGTGGGAGCCAGGCAGGAAGCTCTCCGGGCCTTTCAGCAGCCCTGGTGGCCGTGCAGGGGAGGGGCGCGGCCTGCCCCACTGCAGCCTGAATCTCCCGGGACCAGCGCAGGAGCAGGTGCAGCTGCCGGGCGTGGCAGGAGCCTGGGCCAGGGCCAGCCCTCAGGAATGCGGCCGCACTGTTCCTCTCGGCAGGGATGGCCGAGTGCCAGCCGCCTGGGGTGGCGGATGTGACGGATGTGTTGGTGGCCACAGCCCCCAGCCGCCACCCAGCCCCACGCCAGCTGTCCGAGGCCAGCGCCTGGGGCCTGAGATGTGTGGGGCTCATGAATGGGGCTCTGTAGCTGGACAACTGCTCCGGGAAAGTGGCTACACAGGTGATGTGGATGGGGGCGGGGTGCTCAGGGGACACAGAGCTGCTTCCTGGGCCTGGTGTGACCCTGCTCTACTTTAGGCCCTGGCAAGACATCCCAGGGCATCAGAATGAACCTTGTGGCCCGCCAGGGACCTGCCCTCTCAGATCCCAGGGACAGTGGGGAGGGGGCACCCTGAGTGGGTGGACCTGGCTCTCTGCATTTAACCGGAGCTCCTGCCCCTGGTCCAGGCTCTGGGAGCGAGACCTGCTCTGAGCGTCGCTTCCATCTTCTGTGGGTGGCAGGACCCAGCCCTAAGGATCTGAACAATGTAAAGACATACACGTGCCCAGGAACTCAGCCTCCCTGCCTGTGGGTTTCGGGTTAATAGGACAGTTCTTCCCTCTTACCCCTGCCAGAACTTAAGCCCCTTAGGAGGGGACCTTGAGGAGGGCGCACTGCTTCTCATGGCATTTCTGGGTGCTGCCCCCCCACACCTGTGCCGTCCCCTTATCCTGGATGCTCCTGGAGTCAGAGATGGGGGCTGACTGGCGTCCAAGGTGTAGCCCTGGGAGGTCCCCAGACCGCCTGGGCTCCTGGAGAACAGGAACCTCTGAGCCAGAGCTACAGGGTGGAGGAAGGGAAATCCCCACGCTCGGTCCCCCTCCTCCCTCCCTCGCCGCGAGGGGCCTCCCGGTGGCCTTTACAGAGCCCACAGCTCCTCCCGGCCACCTTCAGAGGACGGTGCTCAGCTGGCTGGAGACCACACACAGGGCCCTGGGTGGAGCAGTGCGCACAGTGGGCCCTGGTCCCACCGGCACCCGCAGCAGCAGGAACTGGGGTCGGCGCTGCAGGCCACGCGCATGGCCCCCCTCTGTCACCCTGCCTGGGCGGCGGGGGTGGCCTGGGAGAAGACAAGAGGGGACTGAAGGGCCTGCTGAGCCGTCCCAGAGTCAGTCTGTTGTCAGCGGTGTCCGGTGACGGCCCCGGGGGGTGGGAGGGGAAGGTGCCTGAGGGTCAAGCCAGGTGGGTTGAAGATAAACTTGAAAACCGGGGACCTGGACGCGGGAGTGTCCCCTTCCTGTTGGGCTGTTCGCTCTGCTCAGGGAGGAAGGAAACGCCAGGGTCTGAGCCCAGGCTGCGCCGGTCCCCAGGCTGGCCGGCCTCGGGCGCCCGCTGTGCGCTGGGGAG